CCAACGGGCTAATTCTAATGGTAATTTTGTAATTCAGTTTTCTCAGCTTTGGAAGGAGCTAGAACAAAAATTTTTTTATCATTAAACAGGGAATTGTTTATACTATATATACCACTATTCAAAACAAAAAAATTCGCACCTACGATTTCTTCAGAAAACGCCGCCTAAATGCCCACTGTGAAATAGTATCTTAACGAATTAATGAACAATCTACCTTTTTCTTGAAAGCAAACAGTACTGTATTCTAATGATACAAGCACATAAAAAAAATTCTTTTTCTTTGAATTCACGCCGCTAGGAGAGTTAAAAATGCTTCTCACATTTTTTATATATAAGAAATTCAAGGAAGAGAAAGAAAAAAAGTATATTTGTTATCTTCTATCATGTCGGTTTTTTCCAGCTTGCATTTTCAGCTTTTGTTTCTTGTTCTGTTCTTTTTTTCTGGTTACAAGCAAGAAGTTTCTCAATAGAGCACCCAAACCTGTCATCATCATAAACCACCTTTCTTTCAGTTGAAAATAAACAGAGTCACAAAATTACACAACAAACAGAAATTCTCTTGAAGCCGAGGTTGACTCATTTTCTTCTTTCCTCTCTCCCTAGAAGAAATCTACTGACAACAGGTAAACTTTCTCATTTATGAACCAATCCATATGATACCTACCACCATTACGGTTCAAAACTGCAGGACTGTTTCTAAATTCAGGATCCAAAACTGCATCTGGAAATGTGTTTCGCAGAGCTGGCCCACACACTTTCGTATAATGTGGGATGGTCCTTGAGGAACTAATCGTTATATCTATGTATAGAGATCTAATGTGCATTCATAAAATGAAAAAAGCAAAAAAACGAAATAAGATGAATGTGAGAAGGAGCAAAAGTGAACAACTGATTTCTGAAAATATCTCAACGAACGTATTTCAGTCATGTCAAGATGGATCACTCTTAAAACTGAAGCACATTCTGAATTTCATCGAATCAGGAACAGCACTCAAGTGACTTTTAAATGCTTTCACAATTACCTCCCAGCAACTCACTCCTTTGATGACTGCGTGTAAGAGTGTTCGAATGCTGTTGTGGGATCAAATAATATTTTGTCTTATACTTGTATGTGTAGTCCGGTTTATATAGGTCGTAACTGTGAAACAGAAATTAATTTGTGTCAATCAAATTCATGTGGTCTCTATGGCTAGTGTATTAATAATTTGAGTACATTTCAATGTTGCTGTCAATCTGGTTACACCGGACAATTTTGCGATCGTCTTTATGATCTTTGTTTATCTAATTCATATTCTCTCGAAGGTTTACAACAATGTATTTCTTCTTCATCTAACAGTGTCTCTGTCAACCAGGGTATACCGGTCGATACTGCGAGATAGGAATAAATAAGTGTGAATTTCGTCCGTGTATTAACGGTGGAAGGTGTATTGATTTTCATAATCGATACCAATGTGTTTGTCCAAACTTCTATACTGGAGCAAACTGCGAGAGATTACTTGTTCATGTTCAAGTGAACAATATTGTTTGAATAATGGTGTTTGCCGGGTGAATCAAACCGGTTTTAGTTGTGCGTGTTCACAAGGATATACGGGAAATAATTGGAACTTGTGATTAACTATTGTCAGTCCATGCCATGTCAGAATGGAGGAATATGTCGAACGTCATCAACAGGATTTACGTGTGATTGTGTTCGCGGCGTGAAAGGAGATCAATGTCAAACAATAGGCAACCAGTGTCAATCTGATTCATGTTTGAATGGTGGAACATGTATTTCAATGCTCAATCGCTTTGTTTGTCTTGGTGCACAAGGATATTCAGGTTAGTTTTTCTCAAATGAAAACAAATTGAATTATCGTGATGATCCGGTTAGTGACTCTTTATATTAAAATTAGAATATATGTGTTCAAACGGCTTATATGTGTTTACAGATTTTAATGTAATAGCAGGTACCATAATCGGACCGAAAACTCGGTTGAATTAATTTAATTAATAGAGAATAAAATTCGTTAAGTAATTATGGCAGCTGCTGTTACATTAAAATCTGTACTGCTTCGACTTGTGGCTTTAACTTATTTTAATGCATGTATTTCAAAATATTTTGCTCCATTACAGCTAATAAATGACTTATATTATCCGAAATATTATTAGTAGATAATTTTCTTCGAGATGATTCCTTTATCTATTGTACCCATCACTTTTTGCTCGAGTAGTAAGAGTTTCGATACTGTTTTGAGCGCTCAATACACTAGAAAAATTCAAACTATTATATAAATCATAATTTCAATATTTTGCAACATCCGCAGTCTATTATAATTGTTAGATCAAATCATTCTTCTTTCATCTGCGATACAGCCTACGAGGGAAGAACCACTAGTGAAAAAATTTTAAAACGTTTATAATTTCACTAATTTAACAAACACATGCAACTAAATATGCATCAGCTACATAACTGACACCACGGTCATATTTCTTCTCTGTATTTTTTGTTAGAGGAAAAAATGTTAACTTATTTTTAAATAATATATAGTCTCAGATGTTTTATGTAAGATTTTGTAAGCAGACTATTAATCATCCATTGTTAGTTTTAAAAGTTGTTGTCTGCTCGTTTTCGCACTGAGCACATAGGTACAATTTCTGAGTAGTCAAATGAAGGACTATTAAGGCTTACACTTGATCTAACGCCTAGAATATACGAAATAAGATACATCACACAGTTTTTGAAATAATTTGTGAAATATTAGAGACAATTTAGTAACCGTTAAGATGATTATGATATAAACATTCTACGCTTATAATTCGAATTCAGCCATCTATTCTTTCTGTATGTTATAGGATTCAACATGTTCCTCAGCGATCAATCATTTTTTGAGTAGTCCCTGTATGCATGATGGTTACTGTATTAATCTTATTAACGAGTATCGTTGTGTTTGCCAAGATAATTATATAGGAACAATATGTAAAGAAGAATTGAATGTTTGTGAATCCTCACCTTGCATGCATAATTCAACATGTATCAATGGTGTATCTCGTTTTGATTGTGCATGTGCATTGGGCTTTCGTGGTTCTCACTGTGAACAAAATATAAACGAATGCGAGAGTGCGCCGTGCTTAAACAATGGTGTATGCCAAGATCAGGTAAGTTAGTATATATTTAAGCAGTAAAAGTAAGTTAGGGACGATAAAAAATAGTATATAATTAACGCTTTTCTGTTTATCTGTGAATTTATTTGAAGATATCTATATTATCTTTCAACTTTAGCAGATAACTTTTGGAATATCTTTTCTAATTATCGATGAGTATATCATGTCTTCAAGTTGATATAAATATGAAGCACGCAACTGATCAGTACCCATAATAACATCCATTAACTAATCAATAGAATTATGAAAACCATTAAAGATTTCGCTCTGTCTTTTAGATTAATGGATATGAATGTTTGTGTAATTCAATATACAGTGATTCACGATGTGAACTATAAACCAATCTTTGTTCGTTAAATCAATGTTTAAATTGTGGAACATGTATCGATAGTACAAATCAATTTCATTGTATATGTTCATCATGGTATTATGATCTACGATGTGAAAATCGTGTATATCCATGCAATACATCAAATATATGTGTTAATAATGGAACATGTTTAGAAAATCTAACAACAACTAGAGGTTTCACATGCCAATGTTCACCAGGATTTACAGGAATTCTATGCGAAATAACATATTGACGAGTGTTCCTTACAACCATGTCATAGAGGACAATGTAATGATAAAATAAATGGTTATGTGTGTGCATGTTATGCTGGAAATGTGGGTGTTCAATGTGAAGTAAGTTTAGATACTGCATATAAATATTAGTGATCCTCTCAGTTGTTGTTAATCGGCGAAAATACTCTGGTTTGTGGCGTATTTGGATTCATCTGTTATTAATTCCATTTACAAATCGTTAGATGTCCATCTTCTTAATGCTTGTCTCTTACTTTCCTAGCCTGTATGCCTACCAGCCATTACCTATTATTATTGTCCATCCATAAAAAGAACGATATATGCATGTTTTTTGAATAACTCGAAAACAGGAAGAGCTAGAAAGACGCGGTTTTCATCAATCGAAAGAGGAGCTTATGCAGCATCTCTTGTAAGCGCAAAGTTTTTCGAATAGCTTTAAAAACGTGTTTTTGAGTGGATCTTTTGCATAGGTCGAAAATTTAAAATAACAAACAATTAGTATTTTTTCATCAGTAAATAGAAAAAAGTGTTTAGATGTAATCAAGATCTTGAAAATCAGTGGTTTAGCCGGAATTCAGGTTTTTTTCAAAGCTCCAGGACTCCTACGTCTTTGAGTTTGGGCGTTTAACAAACACATGAACCACAGGCTATTGACCGTCCTGAATCTTGTGGCAATGTTTGTTTTATTCACCGGATTGAAGGAAGTTCAAAGGATGAGTTTTTCAAAAAGGAGATTTTGGCGTCTGGGCTCTGCTAGAATAAAAATGCTACAACCCAACTATCTTTCATCTCACACGTTCCTCTAGCTCTTTCTGTTCTCGAGTTGTTCAAAAACATTCATATATTCTTTTTATGGATAGACAATAGTAATATTGTATCAGAGCTAGCACCACGGATATTGAGCTCTTCGTAATTGCCAGAACTTTTTTTCATTCTACTTTCGATCGCAACAGATTCGAGTTTAGCATGTTGCATACATACAAGATTCCTTCATGCATTCAGATGGTCGCGTGATCGACAAAATATAAATATCTTATAGATGAGGCATTAAGTGTTTAAAGTGTTTCGCTATTCTATCACAAGGAACTTGAAGTTTTCGTCAGCTATTTTCTCTACGAAGTTTTTAGTTAAAATAAATTTAAAAATCATTTTTAGGCTGACGAAATGAATGCCATAGTACGCTGTGCCAAAACAACGGTACATGCATCAATTCAATAAACGCCTATCAATGCCAATGTGCATCAAATTATGCTGGTGTTAATTGTGAACAATTGATTTCACAACCTGGTCTGAGCGCTTCGTGCCTGTAAGAAAAGTATTTTCTGATGTCTATAATAGTAGAAAAAGCATCTGAAACACGTTTTTTTGAAAATTTATTAGGAATAATGGCACTTGTCTGATGACCACTAGTACTGGATATTCATGTGGTAAGTATTATGTCTGTTAAGGAATGTAATACAAATTTGCTTTCGTGTTTTAGTTTGCAATTCGGATTTACAGGTTTATCATTGTTTTCTACTTTTTATCCTGTTGTATTCAACAGCATCATTGTCGCATTAAAACATATGGTTCAGAGCAAAATAATGAGAGATAATACTCAATAAAGTTTCAGTTAATCATGTTTGAAATAATAAAACTTTGAGCATATTTGGTGGCAGCTCTTTCTGGAACAAAACTAAAGTGGGACAGGACTAGATGATAAACTTATTTCATTTCATTTCTGTACAGGTCCAAGGTGTGAATTGACAATCAGTGCTTGTACCTCAAATCCGTGTGTATTCGGCGCATGTATTCACGTTCCCACACAGTATAATGCGTTAAAATTACATTTTGATCCGAAGTAGTACTCTAACGAGTGTAAGCGCATCCAAGAAGCTAATTTGTTCAATTTTTAACGAGTCTGAACGATTTACGATTAAGTGGAGAGAGTATCAAAATATTTTCATGGGTATTTAGACAACTTATTAACGAAAAAATTATTTAGATTGAATTTAAAGTCGAGAAGAAGACAATCATTTTCCAAACTAACAGTGTTTCCCAAAAATCGAGTTCAGTATATTTTGATCGCCACCTTTACCCAATTTGTAATCTGGCTGGAATTTCTGCAAAATGTTCTTCCAACTGTACTACATCTATTCTACATCCAATCCCTTTTCGTGGATGTGCTAGTTTTCTCTTTCTGAGCGTTTTTATTTTCTGGTCTAGGAAAGGGCTAGAGAATTATCAGACGCACCGAATTCAAAGTTGTAGGACTATTTTAATTTTGGCTATTTTATACATGGTTCGAGAGAGCTCGATGAACTGATCAAATTTGCAAAATACTAAACGGATTTTTGGAAATCTGTCTAGTTTTATCTATCAAGGGATGTAAGTTTGATTTATATCACACCCAGTTCGTTTTTATGCAAGCAAAAAGATACGTATCGCGTTTCTTGAAACTCGAAAAGAGCTCAATATTCGTGGTGCTAGCTCTGATACAATATTACTATTGTCTATCCATAAAAACACATGACACTGTTAGATGAATAAGAAATAGATTGTTGTAAACCTTCGAGAGAACATGAATTAGATAAACAAAGATCATAAAGACGATCGCAAAATTGTCCGGTGTAACCAGATTGACAGCAGCATTGAAATGTACTCAAATTATTAATACACTGGCCATAGAGACCACATGAATTTGATTGACACAAATTAATTTCTGTTTCACAGTTACGACCTATATAAACCGGACTACACATACAAGTATAAGACAAAATATTATTTGATCCCACAACAGCATTCGAACATGTGCCATGAATACCTAATGATAAGAAACTAATCTTTTACCATCTGGCCGAGTTAAAAGTACGAAGAAATAGAAGAGATTTTTCTATAATTGTTTCTTTAAACGTTTGATTTTTCTAAAATAGATCAGAATTTCTTTGTTCCGTTACATGGGAAAGTGGAACAGGGATCAATTCGATTTTCACAATAACTTCCATTATATAAGGGAGGACAAATACAAATAAATCCTTGTGCTAAGTTATATGCCTCGCGACAAATGCCGCCATTCATACATCGTTGATTTGTGCATTGGCTAACAACTATTTGACACACTGAATCAGTAAAGCCATTCGGACAAAAACAAATAAAACTATTTATTTGATGAATACATGATCCACCGTTGAGACATATATTTGGTATACAATCATCGATATTAATCTAAAAAAAAGAGGATCGTTTGAATCTTAACAAATCTACTGGTAAATTTCAAATGGGAGATAACAAAGTCTATTTCATATTTAATGTGAGCTACAGCACAGCACAGATGCTGTCAAATGCTAGCGAACAATTGTCTTATTTCTTGAAAAAGCAATGTTAAAAAGTTACACTGCAATCTGTCCGAGTGAAACCTTGTGGACACAAACAACGTGGTGAAGTAGTACCAGTGTTAATACAAAATCCAAACTGTATCATGTATCACAATAAAAAAATTAAATTAATCACTCACCTATTCAAAAAATCTATATAATTGTCCAAATATTACAGATAATTGTTTAACAATTAAAAGTGGCAGTTGGTTTTGTGCCATCACAACATTGATTATTAGTCGTTTTACCACTTAGACTTGAAAATTGTAATAGGTCAACAAGTAATACGGACGGTGACTCTTGACATTCAATCTGAATAACAAAAAAAACGGAAATCATTAGCTATCATTAATTGAACGTTCCTTCCTTTTCTTTTAGCAATGTGTTTTAATAGCGCAACTTTAATTAAGATCAGCCCGAAAGTTTCTGAAAAAGATCTTAAAATAACATCACCTTTCTTCAATAGAATCCTATAATCAAACAATATATCAGACAATTTATCTTAATAGCTGAGGTTTTCTAATTCCGGATGAGCAAAGTATATATATTGCACAAAACAAAAAGTTAAAAATCACGTTTATAGAGCCAGTATCATTTCTTCACTCGATAAAATTACCAACTATCTGAACGCCTCTCTTTGAAATCTTAACAATAGTTACATTTGCTTTCGTTTTCATATGCACTAGATGCAAGATACGGACGGTGTATATAGCCACTCTACAAAGTACTTCAAGGCATATTTTGTTTAAAGTAAAGATGGTGAAGTTTAAAAACAAATAATCTAAATGGTTTTCAAGTTATTTATACAGACACATGATCCATTGACATTATTTTAAGGAGGAACAAAATATGGTGAGTATTGAAGTAGGTTTGGTGAAGATTGTAATAACCATAAAAAAGTTATAAATGATTGTATTATATATGTACAGTTAGTTCATATACTTGATTTTTATGCCCTCGCCTGCCTTCATGCTGCTTTCTCTTTTCTTTCATCATACTTGAATAAATCGTTCACCTTTTTAGGAAACAAGAACCTATTTCATTCAGATTCTTGTTTGAAATAGCCACGAATGGTTGATACAGTTATAAAAGTGATACAACGACAGACTATTTCTGTCTTTGTGATTGAACATTGTGTACTTAACAACAGGAAAAAAAACAAGTGATTGTCACGAGTAATTATTTAGAAAAATTTGTTTTCACATTTTTGATAAAGTTTACTGAGTTTACTGAGAATAATGCCCACTACTTGTTCAACAGATTACAAGCAAAGTTCAAGAGAAAAAAAGAGATGGCGACGTAACAGTTCCACTCGACCAAATAGAAGAACATATATCGGCAAACTTATTCCAAAGTTTGTATATAAGAAGCCCCAGATCGACTGTCACGCTGAAGTCGCGGCGCGACTCGGGATAAAAATTCGCGCCGCGAACGCGCTCGCTAAGATTCTCGCGAAATAAGTCGCGATTATCATTGACTGATTCTCTTCATTCGCTATTGTCGCTCCGTGATCGCGGTTGATTCGCTATTGCCGCGTCGCGATCATATTATAGTCGCTATACCCAATTATTGTTTGTTCTACGCTTTATCTGTCGTTTGATCCAGTTATAACAACAAAAGGATTCACAATGCGTACTTTTATCTCATGCTTCTCTTTAGTTTAGGAGTCTGCTCTTAGGTAACGGAAAATGGGATTAATTCGTATA